AAATGTGTGATTAATAAAATTAATTAATTTTAATTAAAGTAAATTAATTATATTTATTGGCCTTAATTTGAGGTAATTAAATTTATTTAAATAAATGTAATTAATTAATTTTAATTAATGTTGAATTAATCATCCATTTAAGTAAATTATCTTAATTAATTAATTTCAATTCTCTATTTTCTTTAATCTTTTTTCTAAAGTCAAAATTATCTTTCTTTATTTCAATTTCACTCAAAGCTTTCATAATTAAGCAATTTAGTCCATGCGTCTCAACTCTTTTCAAATCAGTCTTTCATGTTTTTGAATTTAATCAAATCAGCCCATTTAATTTTTATTTGTGTTTATTGTGCATGCATGTTCTTGATTTTGTCTATTTCAGTTCAAAAATAAAAAAATGTTTCAATTCGCTTTATCTCTTTTTTAAGTTTGCTTATTAAGATTCAAACATAAATATAATAAATAAGTTGAATTAAAATCTTAATTTTAAAGATATTCTTTTAATCCTATTAATTTTTTTTTACATAATAAAAGATATTCTTTTAATCTCTCTTATCTTTAAATTTACTTTCACATAAAATTCAAAATTATGACATTTTATTTTTACTAAAAGAGAATTACTATGGAGTCGGTGGATGGCATTTTTTTTCTTAAAACATATTTTTCAAATTTAAAGGGAAATTGATACAGTTTCTTTCTTGATATATCTTTCAATATAAAGTGTGAAAAAGCTTAAAGGTATACCTGTAGCTCTACAAATAAACAGAACGTACACATAGCTTTTACGATGAGTGATATGGGCATGAGGGAAGAATTATTCCTTCTATCTTCTCTCCACAAATTTCTTCTTATTGTGTGGCTGTGTCTCTCAGTCCCTCTTCCTCCTGCCCATTGCCCGTGCAACACAAGTCCCGTCATCTTCAATTTTGGGGACTCCAACTCAGACACCGGGGGTTATTCAGATGCTCTAGGATTTAGTTTCCTACCTCCTACCGGACGTACCTACTTCGGCAGACCGGCAGGGCGCTTGTCCGATGGCAGATTGATGATAGATTTCCTCTGTAAGTCCAAAAACTATATACAGCCATTTAATTTGTCTTTGCATGTTTCATCACATATATATACAAAATACTTCTTCTTTGTGACATAAGATCCACAACAGCATACAGACGGAATCAGGATACATATATGGTGATACAGAGTAGAGTAATTTTCTCATGTTCAAGCTTTTTTAGAGAGTTAAATACTTATTGGTGGAAATTAACAGAATTCTCTTAATTTTTTATTTGTTTTCTTGCTTTTATTTTCCCATTCCCATATTTCTTTTTTGTTTTTTGTTTTTTTTTTTTTTGAACTATATATGGAAGGTAGGATTTGCATTTAAAAAGATAATTTTTCATATTTAAGACCTATTTTTAAAAAAATTTTGATGCTTATAGGTTCTCTGCCTTAGGGCCTGTTTGGTATAGCGGTTAAAATTCAACGAATAGTGGATAATAAATAGCGGTAACAGATAGGGAATAGCGGTAGTAGATACGGAGTAGCGGTTAACAGATAGCGGATGATGGATAGCGAAAAGTGGACAGTGAACGGTAAATAGTGGATTTGATAAATATAATTATTTTGCTATAAAATAGTTAGTGACGGTTGTTTAACATTAAATGATTAATAAGGACATATTTAATAATAAATAAATATATTTTTTAAATATTTTTATTTATTATTATTAAAATTATTAATTTTATAAAAATAATAATAAGAAAATAAA